CTCCTTGGAATTTATGGGCCACATTTTACTTGTCTTTAAAAAATCTGGAGAGATTTAATTGTGCAGATTATAGGTAATTTTGAAACCCACGAAACTGTTTTAAGCAGCAGTTTGAAACTTTCTTTGATGAGAGTGATCAGGGCAGGAAATCACATGCAGTAAAAAAGGAGGAAAATGTAATAAACAGGCCCTGGGCTGTTATTTCAGCACCTTGTCAACAACCTCTGTCATTCCTTTCACTCTGATCCCCCTTGTCATGTGCCACCTGGCTATCCAAGCTGGCCAGGGAAGAGCCAAGGTGACGCAGTGATAGATAGGAAGGACAGGCAGCACCTCTGGGTCACCATTTTGGCACCTGCCAAGCAGCAGAAGACAACACTTGGGAAATGTGGCTGCTCCCACCTTTCCCTCTGCCCTGGGAGCCACCAGAGGCCCATCCAAGGCAAATCTAAGGACCTTTTCCCTTCCACAAGGAGGGCAGAGAGAAGGTCTGAGGCTGGTGGCTGGCTCTACTGCTGGTGTCCCACACTGTTTGCTTTCTTCCCAGCACAACCTGTGATTGAGAATGGGCAGGTGGAGTGTCCCCAAGGATACAAGAGACTCAACCGGAGCCACTGCCAAGGTAAGGATGCTGCTTTCATCTCTCTCTCTCACCTTCCCACATCTGCTGTCAGAGCTGTAATTATCTACACAAGTACAATTCAGTTATCTACAAAGAACTTGACTTTTAAAAATCCCTGTGCTTTCAGCAAGCGTGCAAAAAGGCAGGTAACACTGGTCTACATGACTCAGCTGGTAAGCGTGGGCAGCGCATAGTTAGGCCAGCACAAGAAAACTCACCTTCTAAGTCCTGCTGACATAGTAAGGACCTGTGTTGCTGCTCTGATGTGTGTGAGTGTAAAAACATTTCTCCTGTCATCTGAAGCAACAGAAATTCTGTTGCCTGAAAACATTTGGGAAGGTTGTCGGCTTGTTCAGTTGTTCACTTTGAAGTGGGAGAGTGCCATGAAAGTGAGTCCTGTTCCAAGCATGTCTCGCCCATGCTGCCAGGCTGCCCTGCCTGCCCCACGCTGCTGGGGTCTATCCATTTCTCACTCAGCAATCCCTCAGCTCTGTATGAGGAAGGCACCATTTCTCTACTTTTCTCTCCAGTTCATGTTTATTTGGCATCTCTTGGCCCACAGGGTTTGTGTTTTTCCGTGCTCTGACTAAAGTGGAATTTTATGGTTCCCTTCTTGTGATTCATGATAAGCTGAGAGGTGTCATCTGAAGATGCAGCAGGGAGCCTGGGTCCTGGCCGTGTAAACCCAGATCTAGCAATCCAATGACTCATCTCTTTTAGCTGGGACTTTCCACCATGCTTACTTAATTAATGATTCAACCTCCCCACATTGTCCTGGGGGAGAACTTTCAACAAGGCAACAGCTTCTATTCTCCTTGGTGCTCAGATCTCACCCCTTATGCGGCCACAGCCAGCGCTGTGGGTATGAGGAGCTGCCCTGAGACATTGAATAGGAGCCAGAGGAGCAGAGCAGCTGAGGGACTTGTGTCAGCGAGCAGAGACCTGCGGCGCCTGCTCTGGAATTGTGTCCCCTCTGGAGCAGGGAGAGGCTCAGCGCTCTGAGGAACAGAGGGAGATGGCAGTGTGCAGTTGGCTAGGAAGATGTTTTGGCACATGAACCATGAACCAGAGATTTGTGCCTCTGTGTGCTCCTTTGTAAGGCAGGCTGGAGAAGCACTGTTCTGCAGACAGTCTGCTACCTTGAGGTGCTTTTCCTATCTCTGGTGTTGCAGCGGGACTTGTGGCAGGAAGTTCAGCACCTCACTTAGGGTCCAGAGTGAGCAATTTGGCTGATAGACTGGGAGAGGCTACACGGGACCTACTCTTGCCAGACCAGGTAGGAGGGGAGCCAAGGGGCTGGACAGCAGCTGATGGTCCCTGAGGTCATTGGATGTAGGAGAGGAGCTGAGCTGTGAAGAAGCTGAGCTCTGGCTTTGCAGACTGTCATCAAAGCACAGGTGAATGACCAGAGGATGGCCCTGGCAAGAGTCCATTCTCTTCTGTTTGGTATGGACAGAAAGGGTTGTCTCTGGTGCCTTCCAGCAGAGGAACAAATGGCATATCTCTGCAAGATCTCCCTTCCCTTCCTTTCCTTTCCTTCCTGCATTGAATTGACCGGGAACAAGGCTGCAATTAGTCTGAGTTGAGAGTGCCTGGCAGACCCAGTCAGGAAACCTCCTGGTGCTGCTGGGACCAGCAAGAAGGATGGAACTGGAAGGGATAATGTGGTTGCTAGACAAGAGGCAAAGATTGTCTTGGAGGATGCAGGCTGGAGTGCCTGGAGACAGTGGTAGGGAGGTGCACAGCAGGTCACTGCACAGGGCATCTTGGTGTCCTTGTATCCTTGGTGTCCATATATCCTCAGTGTCCGCTGCTGACTTAGGTCCTTCTGCTCACCAAGCACCAGTGTAAACCAGCTTGCACCTTTCCACCCCAGGCTACCTGACCCAGCGTGGCTGTTTCTGAGGTGCACTAGCAGGCTTGTGTGGGGGAGAGGAAGCAGCTGAGAGAGTTTACAGATCTTGGTTTGCAGTCCCTGAGGCCTCTTCTTGTGGGCCATCCCCGTCCCTGGCGTGCTGCGGGGGGTAGGAGTGCGTGGCCCCGGGTGCACTTGCCTGCTTCTGTTCCCCGTGGGGATTTCCACTGCGGGTGGGTCCTCTGCTGCCAGTGAAATAGAGGGGGCTGGACTGAGGCCAGGACATGTCCCTGGTTTATATTAAGCTCATAAAGCCCAGCCCTTGGTGCTTGTTTGTTTTGTGCTCTCATTACTCTAATCCCTTCAATCCCCTTTGCTTATGCAGAGGCCAAGACTTCATCCAGTTGGTGTGTTGGAATGACACAGTGCTCCAGCCATGCCGGGGAGTGACAGGGATGAGCCCTGAGGCTCCTCTGGAGAGCCCGAGCCTCTTCTCTGAGTGGGGTTCCCAGCACATTTGGGGACTGGCCACTGCTTTTTCTCATTAACTCTGTCCTGTGCTTGGTACGGAGCAGGGAACTATTACGTTACGCAGCCAAACCCTACTCCTCCCTGTCCTGCTGCACATCCCTGTAGCACTGGTACTTCCAACTGATTGAACGTCATGGTCTGGTCTTGACAGCCCCTGTGTGTCTCAACCATGTGTGGGGCAGCTGGTGGGGTGAACAGAGGAGTTTAAGAGCACAAGACTGGCTGTGTGATATCCCCACTTCCACCAAGCAGTGATGCTTCAGCTCCAAGGAATAAGGTAGTGCTGGGAAAGCCATTCCTGAGCCTCGCTGCTCTCGGTCAGGCTCTTCCAGTCTGTACCCCTTCCACCTTGAGACAGTCGCTAGAACAACACTGGCTGCTCTGAGGGCACCTGAGGTCTCACCTGGACCATGTGCACTGGCATTAGGACTGCCCTGTGTTTTTGGAAAGTGTTTGACATGACACTGCCTAGCATCACATTGGCATTTCTTGGTCTTGGCAGCTCGCAGCTGTCCTGGGAGCAGTGAGTGCTCCCAGGTCCTTCTCACTGCCTGCTCCCACCTCAGTTTGTAGCATATGTTCTTGTGATTTGTCTCAGGGTGGTGCTGAGGTTCATCCCCATCCTGCTGCTCCATGCTCCCATCCAGCTCTTCCTGCACTGCCTGTGCCTCCTGACACAGCATGTTTTGTCAGCACATTTACTTTTCTGGTGCCCAGCTCTCTAGTGAAGATACAAAGCTACATATAACTTATGACTCTATAGGCTTCCTCCTCACTCTCCACCGTGAAGCTGCCCTCAGCTCCCCCTTGTGCACTTTTTGCCAGTCCCTGTCTTCTCTGGCATAGCTTGTACATTTTCTCCCGGTGCTGTAGGAAAGGCAGGTGCTGCAGGCCACATGGATGAGACTGATGGTGTTTCCCTGGGATAAGCCCAGCTCCCTTCCCAAAGACTGTGTCCGATGTGTGCTGAGTCAGGGGCAGAGGCAGAGCTCGAGGCAGGGCTTGAGCTTGGCATCTTTCTGCTCACTCAACCAGTTCCCAGAAGACACTACGGCGGTGAGCTGGACCCTGGCCCAGTGTCCCTTTGCCTGGCACTAGGCTCTGTGTGCAGGGATCCATCACTGCTGGCACTGACTGTCCCAGCAGCCTGCCTCTGCACCCCTTCCACCTTGAGAGTCTGTATGCTGGCACTGAGTTCTGAGCAAGGATCCTCCGTGGATGGTGGCTCCATATAAGCAGGACCAGGGGTCAGGCGGGAAGACAGGACTCGCCAGTCTGTAATTACAAACAAGGACCATGATGTGACTCTGCCAGGGTGGCTCACTGGAGGGGCCACGTCTGTTTTCCGTGAGGACCGTGGAGCAGAGCAGTCATTCATGAGCCATCCCTGCTGCTGTAGCGAGCAAGATGCACCGAAGATGTAGGGCTGCTGTCACCGTGGAGGTACCCACCATGCTGCTCGGTGCAGAGGCTGCTTCAGACACCAGCCCAGCTGAGACCCTCTCGATCTATGGCACCTGAATGGGAGGCACTGGGTAGGGGTTTCAGTTCACCCTCTGCTTCCCCACATCTCACCAGGCTCTCTCCTCCCCACAGACATCAATGAATGCTTGATGCCAGGCCTGTGCAAAGACGCTGAGTGTCTGAACACCCGCGGCAGCTTCCGCTGCACCTGCAAGCCTGGCACCATGCTGGACCCATCCCGTAGCCATTGCATCTGTAAGTGCTCCAGGGAACCCTCAGTTTGGGAAGGGGGCCTGAGCAGGACCCCATGGCTGAGTGGAGGCTGCAGCATGTTTCGCATGTATTGCAAGTGCAGCTGAGTGCCTGCTATGTTGTCTTGCACTTGTGTGCAGGATGGGACCCCATGCCTTGGGCCCCCTTCATCCATCATTCTTCTCCATGGACATCTCATGGCCCCTGCTGCTGTTAACTGCAGAGCCCAGAGGGGCCGTGCCTGCAGGGCAGCTGCAGAGGATGCAGTCTTCCAGGTTGAGAGAGCTCCCACAGGAGCTGGATTTGCTTGGGGCTTGTGTTGCTGGGGGAATGGCCTGGTGGCTGAAGGCTGGGGAGTGTTCTGGGGAGAGGATGGGGCAGCCCTCGAGACAGGATGGGGGGCACTGGCAAGGAAAGGCCCAGGGGGGAGAAGCTGATGGTCCTCATTTCTCCGGTGAGAGAGAAATGAGCCTAGAGCTTGACCTCCTGCACTGACCCTGCCCTTGTGTTTCAGCGGACAAAGCAGTGTCGATGGAGCAGGGGCTGTGTTACCGCTCAGCAGCCGGAGGCGTGTGCTCCTTCCCCCTCTCCCACCACATCACCCAGCAGATCTGCTGCTGCAGTCGTGTCGGGAAGGGCTGGGGGAAGAACTGCGAGGAGTGCCCTGTGCCCGGCTCAGGTGAGACATGCCTGTTTTGGCTTTGCCTGCTCTGGTTAGACCAGGACTTGGGCTTGGCTGAACTTGCTGCCGCGCAGATGACTGCAGGACCCAGAGGTGAACAATACAAATTCTGGCCTGTGAGATGGGTACAGCAGCCCAGGGAGCAGACCTGGATAATACTGGGAAGGTAGAGAAATCCCTGATGGGAAACCACGCGGTACCAGAGGGAGGGCACAGCCATGTCTGTGCCTGGCTTTGCACAGCAGCCCTTTTGTCTCTCATACATCTGCTGGGATGAAAGCCAGGTGAGGGTGAGTTCAGCATATCTCAGCATGGGTAGAGAGGAAAGCACCAAAATCCTCAGGGCTGGGAAAAATCTTCAGGTGGTCTGTGCAGAGCATCTTGAGTGATGTGCAAAGCGCTCAGTGTCAAGGTACCAGGGGTTCCTTTTTATCTGCTCCCTTGCTTGGCTTGGACCTTCCTGTGGCATGATCCCTTCCTAGCAGTGCTGACCCAAGGGAGGGATTTAATTTTTGATGTCTGGGATTATCAGCCAGTGCCTGTTAGAAACCCACCCTGCCCTGTGAGCAGATTCCTTCTACTTGAAACATCTACCCACTGCAGCCCAGATGTGTTTCTGTAAGGATTTAACCCTTAGAAATCTCCAGAAAACAATAGGATGGGAGAAACTGGTACCTGCATTCATATACATGCCTGTCCGTCTTCACTCCTTTCTTCCATTTGTCCCACCATCATGTCTGGGTGCAGTAAACCAGGTGATCCCTGCACCAGCCTCTTCCTTCCAACCTCTGCTCTCTAAAGTTTTGATTTGATTTTCCCTTGCAGAAGCCTTCAAGGAGATTTGCCCAGCAGGACATGGCTACACCTACTCCAGTTCTGACATCCGTCTGTCGATGAGGAAGGCAGAGGCAGAAGAGTTGCCCTTCAGTTTGGAAGAACAAGGGGAGAGCAGCAACTGGACGTTGGACTGGGCAGCAAGGAGACAGCAACTGCATGACAGCCTGCGTGGGAGCATCCTAGAGGCATTCCCCCACCCTGGCACCTTGGCAGTAGAGGGTAGTGTGGGATCTACTGCTTAAAGCTGCTCCATCTGGGCCCCTAGTAAGGGTGGGCAAATTCTCAGGTCCTGCTGTGTCCCCATGGATGGACTTGTCCATGGATGGACTTCTAGCTGATAAGGCCTTTCTACAGCTGTATGAATATGAAAGGTGTTCTTCAGCCCTGCTAGTGTTTCTGGGGCATGAGACACCATGTCTTCAAGCCTTTGGAGAGGAGGTCGAGTGTTTCAGGCTCCTGCAACCACATTTTTGCAGTTGGTGTTGGCCAGGCTGCCTCCACTGGGAGCTCAGGTCTGCCTGGTAGCCCTGGCACTGCAGTCCTTGGGCTTTTGTCCAGCCCAGCTGGAAGGAAGTGTGACCGACTGCTTGTGCCAGCACCTGCTGGAGCAGAAGCTCCTGGGGTCTGTGCAGTGCCAGGAGAGGAGTCCGGGTGTGCTGGTTTTGGGAACAAGCTCTTGTGGAGGAGTGCAAGGGACTGAGTGGCAGTGTCTTAGAGGTGGGGTGAAGTTAGGGCAGCCGTGGTTTGAGGAGGATGCCTGCCTGCTTTGTGTACTCACCATGCACTGTTTTACTTTCCAGGTGAAATTTCTTCTGTTGCGCAGGTGAGTAAGGTTTGTCTTGCTACATCTGAGTCCATCCATGGTACCTTAATGGGCAGGAAGGGGGATGTCATACAAATAGGTGACAGGGAAGTGAAATGTGCTGAGAGAGAGCACTAAAGAGAGGAAGTAGCTGATGCCGGAGGGAACAGTGTACGAACTGCAAACCCTACCACCCTGGCTGAGTTGCCATGGCTGAAGGCACTGTGCCGTGTGCGTGCTCAGCCCTTGCTAAGAGGCCATTAGCTCAAACCAACAGGAGCTTGGAGCTCTGCTGCACTAGTTCATGGTTGGTGTTCATGGTCCAGCTGGCATTCCAGCTGGCTGGAGTAGGAGCCCAGGCTGCTGTCAGCCTGGCCTGGCTGCGGGGCTGGGCAGGCAGCAGGGAAAGGGAACCACTGCAGACAGCTCGAGGAGCCCAGTGTCACCTTTAAGGCCAGCTCGCAGGCAGGTCTCCCTCTGTTGGCATGGACACAGCAGAAACCCCACTGGAGCAGTTGGGGCAGGGGTCTCCGACACTGGCTGTGTGAATTCACATCCTGTCTGATGGGAGCAGCCTGGGGACCGATTCTCTGCCAGTCTCTCCCAGGGCTGAGTTTCTTTATTATGAGTCTCACTTGAAAAGTGTGTGTCTTTTGATCCCTGCTGTCAGTAGAGGTTGGGCCATATCTCTCCTGATCATCTCTGCCCTGCCTTGCTATAGCGGCCCAGCTCTCAGAATGTACTTCCAGCCCCTCTGAGAGAGGGGACAACACTGCCATTGTCACCACTTCATAGGCTTGAAGTGACTTCCCCAAGGACATGTGAGAAATCTCAAGACAGGGTAGAAATTTGAACTAAAGCTTCCAAATTTGAAGCAGAGCTAGGCTATGACTTGTGTTGCTCAGCTGCCTGTTTTCTTCATCCATTGCAGAAGGTTCCTTGGAGCGGAGACCTGAGTTGTGCTCCAACGTCTCCTTTGGCAGCCTTGGGTTTGCCAGGAAGGGATGCTGAGAAAGTATTGAGCACCAAGCACCCTTCTAGTAGGTAGTGCTCTGAGGCAGGTCAAAGCAGTGGCTGTCCCCAGCCCTCCAGAGCTGCCAGTGACAGTGTCAGTATTTACCATGCCTGACTGCCCTTCCTGGAGTTGCCTGCCCCGTGGCAGCACCCTGGGTCTCACCTGCATGGTGTGCTGGCATGGCGTCTCTGCAGGTAGCCCCTTGGGCATGGCCAGGAGCTGTGTTTTGCTCTGGATAAGTGCTCAGGACAGAGTGGCCCTGCCAGCTGCACCCAGCCGTGGTGGCCTGGTCTTCCAGCACAGTGTCTTGGGGAGCAAGAGGAGCTGAGAGGTGGGTGGGAAAATGTCTCAGGGACGCTGAATCCCAGCTACATGCATGTGGACGGAGACAGTCCTATGTTCCTGTCCCTCAGGGTGCTGCTGATGCCATCGCAGAGCCCACCATGCGCAGAGGTGAGCACCTGGCTGGTGGGAGGTCAGGGTGGCTGTGGTGAAGAGGATGGGGCCATGAGGAGGGATGAGAGCGCGAAAGCTGGGAGCTGCCTCCTCTGCACAGCAGCGTCTGGTGTTGAGCAGGGTGGGCTCCTGGCTGGGCTGGCTGTGGGGTGGCATGGGGGACTCCCACCACACTGCGGCAGCTGATGTGGGGCTGTAGGGAATGGGGAGGTGGTGACTCTCCAGAGGGGTGGAGGAGGCTGTGTTAACGAACAAAATGATGAGATTGCTGCAACCACCCTGTGGCCCCTTCCCATGTGCTCCTGGGGCTGTGAGTGCAGGGACACCCAGCACAGGTAAACCTTGGGTCTTCATCTCTGCCTGAGATCTGGGGCTGGCCTCACCTCTCTTCTTCTTCCTCATCAGAGAAAGAGGAGTCCTGGCGAGGTCCTCCCCAGCCTGGCCCCACCACCACCTGGGATGCTGCTGCTCCAACACAGATGCCAGCTCAGGGCTCGGGTGTGTGTCCACCGCTCTCGAGGATTTCCTTCCTCTCTCTGCCCACTATGGGGCTCGTGTGCCCTAAGCACTGCCCAGGGGCTCTCTCCCTTCTCCAGCCAGCTTGTCTTCCCACATGCCCCACTTGCCTTCCCAAAGATAAGTCCCTGCCCTACCACCCGGGGGTGATGTCCCAGCCTGGCCCTGGCTGTGGGGAGGCACAAGAGCGATCCCGTATGGGGAACACGGTGTTTGGCTCTCCAGGTCCTGCCAGGCCTGCAGCCCACTTGCGTGGTGCAGCGGTGGCTGCTGGGCCAGGGGGATCACGTGCCCGCCCCGGTGGCTTTGGCCCCGTTCCCCTCGCAGCGCGAGCTGACTCATCGGGAAG